TTCTTTTACAATCAGTAACCCCTTCTGATTTGTGGCTATACTGCCCTGCTTGGGATGACATGATTTAAAAATATCTATCTATCTAAGTTAATTCATATCTATCTCAGTTAATTCATATCTATCTATCTAATTCATATCTAACTATCTATTCATCTCAGTTAATTCATATCTATCTAATTCATATCTATCTATCCATCTCAGTTAATTCATATCTATCTATCTGTCTATCTATCTAATTTATATCTATCTATCTCAGTTAATATCTATCTATCTATCTATCTATCTCAGTTAATATCTATCTATCTATCTATCTATCTCAGTAAATTCATATCTATCTATCTATCTATCTATCTATCTATCTATCTATCTATCTAGCTCAGTTAATTCATATCTATCTATCTATCTAGCTCAGTTAATTCATATCTATCTATCTAGCTCAGTTAATTCATATTTATCTATCTATCTAGCTCAGTTAATTCATATTTATCTATCTATCTATCTAGCTCAGTTAATTCATATTTATCTATCTATCTATCTAGCTCAGTTAATTCATATTTATCTATCTATCTATCTATCTAGCTCAGTTAATTCATATCTATCTATCTATCTAGCTCAGTTAATTCATATCTATCTATCTAGCTCAGTTAATTCATATCTATCTATATATCTATCTATCTATTTATCTATCTAGCTCAGTTAATTCATATCTATCTATCTAGCTCAGTTAATTCATATCTATCTATCTATCTATCAATCTATCTAGCTCATTAATTCATATCTATCTATCTATCTAGCTCATTAATTCATATCAATCTATCTAGCTCAGTTAATTCATATCTATCTATCTATCTATCTCAGTTAATTCATATCTATCTATCTATCTCAGTTAATTCATATCTATCTATCTATCTATCTCAGTTAATTCATATCTATCTATCTATCTATCTAGCTCAGTTAATTTATATCTATCTATCTATCTATCTCAGTTAATTCATATCTATCTATCTATCTATCTATCTATCTATCTCAGTCTGTTCCTATCTATCTATCTATCTATCTATCTCAGTCTGTTCCTATCTATCTATCTATCTATCTATCTATCTATCTCAGTCTGTTCCTATCTATCTATCTATCTATCTATCTATCTATCTCAGTCAGTTCCTATCTATCTATTTATCTATCTATCTATCTATCTATCTATCTCAGTCTGTTTCTATCTATCTATTTATCTATCTATCTATCTATCTATCTATCATGAGTCTGTTCCTATCTATCTATCTATCTATCTATCTCAGTCTGTTCTATCTATCTATCTATCTATCTATCTCAGTCTGTTCTATCTATCTATCTATCTATCTATCTCAGTCTGTTCCTATCTATCTATCTATCTATCTATCTATCTTTTCTGTTTCTATCTATCTATCTATCTATCTATCTATCTATCTATCTATCTATCTCAGTCTGTTTCTATCTATCTATCTATCTATCTATCTATCTATCTATCTATCTATCTCAGTCTGTTCCTATCTATCTATCTATCTCAGTCTGTTCCTATCTATCTATCTATCTCAGTCTGTTCCTATCTATCTATCTATCTATCTATCTATCTATCTCAGTCTGTTCATATCTATCTATCTATCTATCTATCTATCTATCTCAGTCTGTTCATATCTATCTATCTATCTATCTATCTATCTCAGTCTGTTCATATCTATCTATCTATCTATCTATCTATCTATCTATCTCAGTCTGTTCATATCTATCTATCTATTTCATATCTATCTATCTATCTCAGTCATGTCATATCTATCTATCTATCTATCTATCTATCTCAGTCTGTTCATATCTATCTATCTATCTATCTATCTATCTATCTATCTATCTCAGTCTGTTCATATCTATCTATCTATCTATCTCAGTCTGTTCATATCTATCTATCTATCTATCTATCTATCTTTTTACGTGTAAAATCCAATTAACGAAATATCTCGATTTCGTTATCAAGGAATTCGCAAATTCGATTTTTGATCTATAAACATTTCCTTCCCTCTTACAATCCCAGGAACCAGACAAACCGGATTTTAATATCAGTGTTCCATATAATTTTTTAACTATAAAATCGTTTCAATCATTATCGACTTCTTCCTGTTCAATACTGCTGGCCCTTTAGCCTACGTCTTCAACGGCACCACACTTCCGGTTTCTAATAGCTTAAACCAGTCGTCGAAGAATATGCGAGTTCCTGAAGCACTTTATACAATAAACCAATAAGCAGAGCCTATGCCGATGATATTGATGAGGCTGATACAAAAAGAACACGAGCCGATAATTATTAATGGTGAGGAGATTCGCCGAAAAACAAATTTCTTATCTTATTAAGCTTGTGATGAGTAATATTATCACTTGGGATACTCTGGGGGGATAAAAAGGAGTGTCTTTTGACTCATAGTTTTGGACGAGATCGAATAAATAGATAAATTCTGGTGCGAACATCTTTTCTGAACGTATTCGTATCGTTGTTGGATATGAGTAAAATATTCTCTGAATAAAGAAAGGCTACAGATAGCCCCACACACTATATTATGTATTACCTAAAGGTTTTCAGTCAGTCAGTTATGTGCCATGCGTGATACACGCTTAGGCGATCATGAATCGTTCGATACATGACTGACGAGGCAGATTTTTTCTCGCAGTATGTCGTCATTTCTTTCTGCAGTAGACCAGTTGCAATCCAAGGCTATAGAACCTGGTCTAGGAGAAGAAGAGGATTCATACCTTTCCCAATGGATTTAGAACGTAAGTGAATGTAATGGATTCGACTGGATTTCGAACTCGGCTCTCCGATTAGGAATTTCAAAAGCTTCCTCGAAAAGAAAGCAGTAAGAATTTTAGCGTAGACCAGACTTCTATAAATTTTGCGCCGAATGAACTGAAGAACCTAAAAATTTAAACAGGTATGTACTTGTCGGTTTATGACCCCTTCCCCACCAAAGAATTGGAAGTATGTGTAACGTAATAGGTAAAGAGACAGTGTAGTTGTGGCACTCATGAGATGTGAACAGGACAATATGATGCTCGGGGCCAAAAAGCTGAGCACTTTCTGTTGTGGAAACTGCTATAGATGTTTGGCTGGCAACAGTAACAAAATAAAGCAATCTTTTCTTCATCATGAGCATGTGACATGAAACTGGTTCCAGGAATACATGGCTTAATTGAAGATGCCACATCAGACTCTGTTCTCGTCAGAATTAATTCGCACTGAGCATCTATAGACAGGTTGAAGACTTCATCAAAAACCCTGCAGTCACATCTAAACAACGATATTCAGTACATCATAGACTCAAATGAAGTGGTTGCTACGCATTATAAAGTTTTTGTTTCTAACTTTTAGACACTTCATATATATTTCCTAACACACTAAACTTTATTTTGTGGATACCCATGTTTGAGTAGACGCCCTGTTTTTTAAACAGTGTGGATTATGTGTATGGGCGTCTACAGGGCATCTACTCAAATATGGATATCCACAAAATAAGGTTTGGGGTAGTATGAAGTAATATTAAATAAAAACCTATTGATTTGTGACAAATTACTTCGCACACACACAAAGACAAACGCGCGAATACACACATATACACTTTTTGCGTATCTGTGGATATATTTAAGAATTTGCGAAGGCTGATTCTTTATAAGACAGTTTGGCACAATAGAATCTTCATAGGCTTTCAGGGAATTCATCTCAATATTCATATCTATATTAATTTGATCACTTTCTCTCAATTTTATCTAAATCTCTTATCTATCTATCTATCTATCTAAATCTTATCTATCTAAATCTCTTATCTATCTATCTATTTATCTAAATTTCTTATCTATCTAATTCCATTCGTAATCTATCTATAAATTCGCATATATATCGAGATGTGAGGGTAGTGTAATGGACAGAGGCTCAGAGTAGAAGTCGTTACATTCATTTATGCGCAAAAACTCTTGGGTAAGATATAAATCCATCTCTTCCTTCCAGCTATGGGTTAAATAGTAGGACTTTTATCTGGAAAAATCATTGTTAATCTCCAAAACAATTATTAATGAGATATTCATCTCAATTCATATCTACACTATTTACATTATTCGGACTATTGTCCTCACCTTTGTCGTCAGGTTTATCACAACGTTTCGGCCGTTGTACGCTCCGACCTTCTTGGAATGTGGTGGTTGGAATGTCGAACTGAACCCTTTATTTCGCTCACTGGAATAGACCGTTGCACGTGCCATGTCTAATGGATGTCAGTTTGTATATATTCTTACCCTCTGAAAGTTCTCCACCACCTTAACCAGGTATTGAACTCACACTCTTTGGGTTCTGTCACTGGATCTAACTAACGCCTTTATCTACTGTGCCATGTGTCCTTGAGAAATATAGACAGATACTCAATTCATATCTATCTATCTATCTATCTATCTATCTATCTATCTATCTATCTATCTATCTATCTATCTATAACTGGTATTTTTCAAAGATATTTACATTGTTTAGCTTATAGTAACATGTGCATCTATCTCTTAATAAATTACACCTGTTCTTTAAGTTCAAGATTCACTCATAAGACTTTTCTAAATAAAACACACTAACAAAAATTACTATAAACCCCATGATTATATATAGCAGTATATTGACAGTTGAGATGTCCATTCTCGTCAAATTCCTTCGACAAACAAACAACGAAAAACAAATGGCAGCAATTGAGAAGTGAGCATTTCTTGTTGTAAACAAACAGCCACACACAACATTATATATACATTTTGCAGGATCGAATTTTTATATAAAAATGCTACAATTTGTTCGGTGCTAGAGTGAACTTGATGCTATCGTCTGCCAGCAGCCAAGTGATGAGGCGTCGCAGTTTGTATATATTCTTACCGTCGTTCACTTTAGTCATAATCAGGTTCAACATTAAGAAGCGGAACAATCGTGACTTCTCCACCTTCCACCCATTCAATCAGATCGAAGCCGGGGCAGTGATGATACCGGAAGTTGAGGAGAAAGAAGCGTAGACAGAGAGAGATAGAAAGAAATGAGGACAGTAGGGAAGATGAACGAAGCATTGATAAATGGAGCTGTGGTTCACGGTTATAATATAAATCGCGTTATTTTGTACGTGGGGGTAGGTGTCAAATAGAGAAGAATGGAGATCTGGAGAAAATGGAAAAGTGAGAGAGAAACAGACGAAAGGGAAAAGCGGTATTGTGGCCTGGAAGAGAGAGAGGGAAAATAGATAGATAGGGTGTGTGCATATGAGAAAAGTATAGAAGATTGTGTTGTTTAAGAGTTTGAATGATACAGTGGAGGTTTTAAGTAAGAGTGTACGAATGTCTTGGGAGATAAATTTACTTGAAAAGACTTTGAATGATTCAGAAGGAGAAGGAAAATCACTAAGATAGATAGATAGATAGTGAAGAGACTGAGATACATAGTAAAGAGACTGAGATAGATAGATAGTGAACAGACTGAGATAGATAGATAGATAGATAGATAGATAAGTCTTTCTTACTGCATATGAAATATAGAATCACAGCACGGTGCTGCTGTGGTTTTCATATCTTCTTTACAATGGAGTTGCCAGCTCCACACTAAACCGTTTTTGAATTCGGTTATCATCTTTCTTTTTTTTACAATGATGTTCACCCTGTGCAAGACCCAAGAGCCACTTGAGGCCGAGGGTTACAGAGTAAGAGGCATAGTTTATGGGAATATGTGGGGAAGAAAACAGTTGGCCCTAAATATGAACAAATTAAGATTATAGTGATCAGGGAATCATCCTCTCGGGTGTCGGTTGCGGGCCACGGGAAGAAGCTGCGCTAGCGCAACTTAAATCCGACCAATGAAATACGGAGAGAATGCACTATTTTCATTATTCGGATTATTGTCCTCATCTTTGTAGCTATATTTATTACAACGTTTCGGCCGTTGTATGCTCTGGCCATCTTCAGGTGGTTGGAATGTCGAACTGAACCCTTTATTTCGCTCACTGGGGTAGACTGTTCTAGTTCCAGGTATTGAACTCACACTCTTTGGGTCCTGGACACATGGCACAGTGGATAAAGGCGTTAGTTAGATCCAGTGACAGGACCCGAAGAATGTGAGTTCAATACCTGATTAAGGCAGTGGAGAACTTGGAGAGGGGAATTAACAGGAGATAACTGATAACTGACACACATTAGACATGACAGTCTACCCCAGTGAGCGAAATAAAGGGTTCAGTTCGACATTCCAACCACCTGAAGAAGGCCGGAGCATACAACGGCCGAAACGTTGTAATAAACATGGCGACAAAGATGAGGTCAATAATCCGAATAATGTAAATAGTGTACATAATACCTCATCTCAGAAATATAGACAGATACTGACGGAGGGAATGATAGTGGTTCAATACAATGTGCGTGGTATGGCAGGTCTTAACCGTGAAGATTAGAACTGGTTGAACTAAGCAATGTATTTCGTTTGAAAACTTTACATGGAAATAGCGATAGAGTAGCGGGAGTCTTGCGACATTTTGTCTCTGGGGAAAGGGGTTGTAGGATGGAAAATAATTCATCACTTACAAGAATGCCGTAATACTTTTGGAAAGCGAAGACTGGGCAGCTCCTGTCTATATATGTCAGCAGTACTCCATTTTTGGCTTCATCTGGCTATTGGAAAAGCAGAGGATAGCAAGAATAGCCAGGTACTTACTGGAGCGGTACAGGGAATCGACTATTTTCCAGCATCTAGGGCGTCCAGTCTGCCCATAGCTAAGGTGTAGGTGCCGGGGATGGAGAAGAAATGGATTTATACTTTTCCCAAGAGTTCTTGTGCGAAAGTAACGCCATGATCTCGGCCGGTATTTGAACACTGCATACCGACCCCACTTCAGGCATAGATAACCACTAGGCCGAGCGCACATCCCCACAGAGAGAAAATATGTTTTTGGTAGGGTGGAGATTCCGATATAGAATGGATAATAAAAAAAATCAATACATTAGCAAAACATATCAAGATAATAATTCTTTGGCTGGAATTGGTCGGAGAGAAGGAAGAAATCGTACAAATATAAGCGGTGAAGATAAGCGAAGAACCGTGAACAAGGGATATGATGTGATAAAATGTGTAGTAAAAAGAGAGGGGGGAGCGAGAGAGAGAGAGAGTGAAGGCGTGATATAGAGTGATAAAAATGTGTGGTTGAGAGGGAAGAGAAGAAGAGAAAACGCAATGGTGAAAGTGTGTGTAGTAAAGAGAGAAAAAGTGAAGAGTCATGTGCGTGATTCGGGGGTGGAAGAGAGAGAAAGTTGGAAGAGAAATCGAAAAAATTATACATAGGCCCCGCACCCCCCGCATGTAAACAAATAATGTATTGGCCAAAATTTTCGTACTAGTTTTATCGTGAGATGGCATTAGGAGTGTTTAGTTGAACAGATTTCATTAACCCCCCCCACAAAAAAAACTCCCGCTCTGTATGGTATTTTAACAGCTGTTGCATCATCATACATTTTACAAACTATAAAAAAAAAAACTATTCTATTTTGGCTTATTAAATTCAACAGAAAATGAAATAATTTTCTGTATGGTATACATTTTTTCAGTAAGAAAATAAAAACGTGATTCAAACCCAAAAGCTATTCATGTAATTCGTGTAGAAGGTATTGGGACCGAAGAAACGTGCGACACAGAGATCCAAAAGCGCGTCTAAATAGCGAAAGGATGCATTCCAGAAACTAAGCAAAGTATTAAGAGATAGGAAAATATCGATAGGAACAATGAAAAGAGTGCTGAACTGCTATGTAATATCTAATCTCCCATATGAGAATAAATACGGGACATTCACATCATGCTTTTAAGAAACTAATCAATGTATTAAGAGATAGGTAAATTTCGTTAGAAAGAAAATGGAGCTGAACAGCTATGTCATATCCAATCTCCTATATGGCAATGAATGCCGGACAATCTCATCATCTCCTATATGGCAATGAATGCCGGACAATCTCATCATGCTTTTCACAAACTAAGCAAAGTCTTAAGAGATAGGAAAATGTCGGTAGGAGCAAAGAAAAGAGTTCTGATTCTCCCATATGGCAATGCATACTGGACAATCTCATCATGCCTTTCAGGAACTAATCAATGTATTAAGAGATAGGAAAATTTCGTTAGAAAGAAAATGGTACTGAACAGCTATGTAATATCCAGTCTCCTATATGGCAATGAATGCGGGACAATCTCATCATGCCTTTCTGAAATTAAGCAAAGTATTAAGAGATAGGAAAATGTCGGTAGGAACAAAGAAAAGAGTGCCGAACTGCGATGTAATATGTAATCCCCGATATGGCAATAAATACTACACAATCTTATCATGCTTTTCAGAAATTAAGCAAAGTATTAAGAGATAGGAACATGTCGGTAGTAACAAAGAAAAGAGTGCTGAATTGCTACATCATATCTATCTTCTTGTAATGAAGTGAATGCTGGACAATTTTCTTACAGATGAAGAAGAGAGTCGAAGCGATAGAAATTTGGTTCTACAGAAGGATGCTGAGAATACTATGGACAGAAAATGTGAGTAATGAGAAAGTTCTAAAGAAAATGGGAACAAGAAAAAATCAGAAAGTGGTCGTTGAAATTTCTCGGACATATTTTCAGGAAAGACGACTTGAAAAATTTTAATATCTACAAAGCGTATTGTGGAAAGAAATAGTAGTGGGAAATTAGCAAGAAACTTAGCTGATGAGTTTTGTTAATGAATGACAGAGCAGGAGCATGATAAGATGGTAAAAATTCAAACGTTGTTTTGCGTTACAAGAGATAGGAAGATGTGGAGAGCCAAGATCATCCACATGAATGATAATGACTGTGAATGATCAAACGTGTTAAGAGTGGGTTGCGCAGTTTTGTGCTGAAAATTACTTGCTGAACAATGCATCCATGTCGAGTAGAATAGTTGAGATTAAATACAAAGCAATGCAATATGAGAGACGACCAACAGACTCAAAATGTCCAAGTCTTGTGTACAAAATCATTTGCATCAGTTTGGCGTTATTAATCATTTTGTTTGGTTTGGTTTACTTTGTTTTGTTTTACTGCATATCAACCTCAATGGGTTATTTAATGTCGACAAGATTTGTATTGCTGGTAATATCTTTTTTCAAAAATGTATTTCTGGTAATATCTTTTTTTTTCAAAAATGTATTGCTGGTAAAATCCTTTTAGAAAATGTATTGCTGGTAATATACTTTTCGAAAATACATTGCTGGTAATATCCTTTTCGAAAATGCATTGCTGGTAATATTTTTCCCCAAAATGTATTGCTGCTAATAATTTTTTCTTCAACAATTTATTGCTGGTAATTTTTTTACAAAAACGTGTTGCTGGTATTAAAACCTATTTTTACACTTTGTGTTTTGACGTCAGTTTGAGGGTTAAGTATTTGCCCATAGCTGGGACCCTAACAGGTGTTACCACCCCGGGTCAGGGTAGACCTGGGAACACCAGCAATTAAGAGGTGGTTCCACGCTCCTCAAAACCTCCTGATCAGATTACTTGCTGTTGGATGTAGTTGATCGTTTTACCCAGGACGCGGATATATTTTATCTACTTACCCAGGACGGAATTATTTTGTAGTATCCTCTTTTAAACGAATTTTTTAGTAAACGCAATGATGATGACCTATACCTTGAAGTCATAGAAATACCCAAACCTATATCAGCGAGTCAGTGTGTACACTAGCTTGGTCATGATATTTTTACCCAAACAGATTTTTATTACTAAATTTTTTGTAAACTCATGACATTCATTTCTACGGTGGCAGGTATATACGGAATGTATGATGAAAAGTATTACCGCCCACCATGAACAGCGAATTGTCCAAATGAGTACCCTTATTGATCATGACCCGAAGCATCTGGCAAGAATCATCTACAGAAAAATACAAGTGACACTCGCTCAATGCAGTTACCAAAATTTATATATATCATAAAAGATCAACGATCTTTAGCTTTCAATATATTTTTTTTTTCTTTTTTATAAAAACAAGCTCAATATAAAGCCCAAATAAATATTCAAATTAATGGGGTTAATGAGGTTGTTTCCTGAACGTATGAGGGAGGAAAATTTGATTATGATATATGCAGGATAGATAATTGTTGACACTAGACTTGAAGTGGTGACCGGGTAAGCGTCTTTTCGGGAACATGTTCCATAAAGTAGCGGTTGTCTGAGACCTTCCTTCTAATCAATGAAATAGGAATGAAATGATTCAACCCAGCGCATGGCGAGTCCTAGCCATGGAAATAGCGATAGAATAGCGAGAGGCTTGCAACATTTCATCTGAGGAAAAGCGGCTAAAGTGTTAAAAATAATCCTCCACAAGTCCCCCACGAACACAGATAATAACAATAGTCTATTTTTAAAGAACAACGAGACTGAATAGTTGACGTCGCTAATTGGACCGTAGATGACGGACAAATTTTTACGTGGTCTGTTGTGTCAGAGAGTCATCCATTTCGGTTTTATGGTAGGGTTCATATGTAACACAACCCCGTGGGGCCATAAATTCCAGTTTTTAACAAGTGACTATACAGGATGGGGATGATTCTGTAATAGCGTGTAGTGTGTTTACGTGGCATTCGATTGGGTGCGCTTAAACACATCATTAACCGGTGATCGCAATGTTACACAACTTCCTGATCATTTGCACCCATTAATTGACTCCATGTTCGCCAACAACAATGGTTTGCCCCATCGGGTTGAGGCAAAATGTTATCAGAACAAGGTGACCAGAACTGGTTTGAGGATAATTCTGGATTCTTAGAACGACTGGTGTGGCCACAATGTTATCCCGATATGGGACCAAGCGAGTACTTATGGGACATGGCAGGGTGAAATATAATGTAGTGGTTCCAACTAGAGAAAAGTATGTATATTAAAAAGAAGAGAAGAGAGGTGCCGCAAACGTTTTTGGTTGTAATGTGGATTTATTTAGAAAAAATATTATGCTTTGTTTTACATAATTTTACGACACGTGTTTCTGGTCTCATCGACCGTCTTCAGGTAAAAGTGGAGATTTCCACATATTATTAAAAATAATTTAATTTTTCCTCATGTTCAATGTTAAATATTCTCGATATGAGACATTTTCTGTTTGTGTGTTGGTAAAAATCACGTAAGTGAATGCAACAGATTCAACTGTAACTAGAACACACTCCGATCGTCTATTCATTACTCCACCGTGCCTCCAATATATATATATATATATATATATATATATATATATATATATATGTGTGTGTGTGTGTGTGAAAAGTGTATATAAATATAAATAAATATATAGATGTATAATTATTTATATATTATATGAAAATACTTATTAAAAGCGCTCAATATCAGAGATAGAATAACTCACATCTATCAAACCAAATATATATATATATATATATATATATATATATATATATATAGAGGGTCCGGTAGCCTCTATATATTCGAAACCGACTGAATTAGCGTCAGTCAGATTCTAAATAATCTGTTGGCACATAGACCTTGTGCCCGTCGAGCTGTCATTCAGCGAAACTTAAGTCGCACACCAACATATATATATATGTTTATATATATATATATATATATAATATATATATATTTATTTTATGTAAAATTTTTTAGACAAGTATGTCTATTTATTTTATGATAAGTTTGATAACATAAGTTTCATTAAAACCGAAAAAAAATTCACAATATTTATCCATTATTTTTTAATATAATCTAAGCTTTCGGCTTACTCAAGCCATTATCAAAGATGTAAATTACAAACATATCAAACAATATACGGACACGACAGTGATGATAGTCTGTCATTGTTTTGTTTACATAGTGGATCACTAAGCAACGATGAACACGCGCATATAAGACGCTAGAAGCGAAAATCGCACCGCATCTCATGACGTCACACATGACTACACGAGAGTGAATTGGAGAATGAAATAAGGAAAGCCGTTGGTATAAACCAATGGCTTCTGTTACCAATTATAGAAATTATAGACATTTAAGAATATTTGTAGAGATTCCATAGTTGATTTTGTTTAGGTTGGGTTTTAACTGTTTGATGTATAATGCTTCAAGTATTTTTAGTTTTTTGTCTATTGTTTTCATGTCGAAGTATAGTTGTGTTTTTCGACAAGTATTTTTTCATGGAATTGTGTGTGCGGGCAGGCATGTTGTTTTAAATGCCTAAAAATGTTAGAGTTTTCATTAAAATGTAGTGTCAAGCGTCGTGAAAGCGAGTTTGTGGTTTGACCAACATAAATATTATTTAATTCGTTGGAGATACACTCT